CAGCGACGCCGGGTCGATGTGCAAGCGGTCGCTCGAATCAGAGCTTTGCTTCGGGTCACGGGCACGCCCTTTTCTACTCTACCAAGCCGGTAATAGGGCGGGCTGATGAGTCTTTCATTCGGAGTAGGATGTGACAACAACTCGGTGAGTGATCGTCGAGTTGGTTCGCTGGAATATGTACTGACACTGATTGCAGTGGATATCCTGATTATGACACGTCAGGGGTAGGTCACGATCGATGGAGACGAGCCGCGGACGGACGGTGACATCGGTCGTTCGCTCGTGCCGCTGAGTGGGACGGTGTCGATGTTATCGAGCGCGAGCCTCTCTGATGGTGTCCGGGTCGGCCCGACCCTGGCGTGTTGGGTTGGATGGGTACGAGCGGGTGAAGGGCAGAGACGGAGGCGCAGTTTTCCCGCAGCTGTGCAGCTGGCCCGCCGGGATGTGGCGTGTCGGCTCCACTGTAACACCGCCGCCGCCATCACACCGGAACAGTGACTGGACTGCCTTCCGCCGCCGGCGGCGCACCACGTCACTGACCGGGTCCCGGGAACAGCCGCGGCCGTCCCGACCGACCCGTGCAGACCCGCCGTATGAGGCGACTGGGGGTGGTTCCCAGAGGAGGGGAGAGCCGGTCAGGCGCGTCACGTCACCCTGTCGCTGATATCAGCTCCCGGCGCTCAGTGGGCAGCGGCTGTCAGCGGACGAACCGGCGCTGACACCCACCTAGCTGTCAGAACCGGGCGCGAGCCGTGGTTTTACCACAGCGAGCCGACAGGGGAGCCATTGTCGGCGCTGTTCGGCCGTTGTGAACGTGCTTGGAACCAGCGTCTGTATCATTCCGCCCGCGTGGGTGTGCAGGCAGTGATTTTCACGTCTGCGGATACGTGCCTGGACTGGGACCGGACTCCGAAAGTCTGCCTCTCCCGTTAGGTCGTTCTGTTTCTCATCGGCCGGCCGCGAGCCTGGCGAGGTGGTGGTCCTAAAGGGGGCGATGTTATTTAAATATACAGCCGGCTGGAGCGCGGCTGCGGACGGCTGTCGGTCTGATGGTCCGGGTCTCCGTCTGTATACAGTGCAGGATAAAGCTGCTCGCTGCTGGCTGCACAGTGCACACGGCCGGGATGGTCTCGGGCTGCCATTGGTCTGAACGGAGGGACTGGGTTGGGGTTTATGTGTTATGTGACTGCTGTGGTAATATACCCCGATGTCTTACTGACGTCACCAATCAGCCTTCCTCTCTGCGACTGGTGTTCTGTTGGAACATCCTACCGCATGGTATGACCGAGACGCTGTGACTCATCTCTGGCCACGTCAGAACCAAGGACGCTGCCGCATACCGAGCAGTGATTACCGACTCGCAGCGGCCGCCGGCGCCGCGCGGAGGGGCGGTCCGACCGCGAGCTGCGCGGGCTCGGCGTGTCGGTCTCAGAGCCCGCACATAGCGGGACCTGGCGGCTGGCGTCCCCGCTCCCGAGCTGAGTGTGATGGATCGGCGACCGCGGTTGGACTCGATATGCAGCGCCGCGCGGTTGGCGAGCGGTTCGTTTCACTCGTATTGGCCATCGCTGTGGCGAGCACGGCTCTGGCATTCCCAGGTGCCGGTTGTGGTCGCGGCGAGGCACGACCGTCCCCGATACGGCACGGTGGGGATGGGGATGATTTAGTCGGGTATTTAGTAGGCGAACTCTGTACGCGTGCACGGCAGGAGGCTGGCGGTGACAGACGATCAAGAGAGGAGCGTGCTCCGCCGGCGACTCCAGTGGCGTGGCAAATGTCCCTGTTGTGCGCCCCGAGGTGTTCAGGGCTGGCCGACGACACCGGATGTCTGGTCAAGGTGTGTTTGTTGCAGCGACCCTGAGTCGTGACTCCACATCTCTCTCCAGTTGCTAAAGGCTGCGTGTCTGTGCAGCAGCATCCGCCAGTGTCGCGAACCCTGTCATTGAATAAGATGTGGCGCTCCGTCTCGCCTGACAGAGCTGCCTTTGCAAACATTTAGCTTTTTTTAAAGCCTGATGATTTGCAAGCTAGCGCAATTTCTTTTGTTTGGTTTGGAAATATGCAGGAATTTCACCTCGCGCACGGCGCTAAACACTCACAGCCGAGCCGGTCGTGAGCCCAATACGAGTATGTAGCTAGTCTTCTACGGGGGACGTCACGGGACCAAGGGTTGATGGTATCTCGGGCTGGCTGTTCAGCCAAGCCTAACACCTCTGCCGTTACAGCCCTGCGCGCCATATCGCCACCGTGTTTAGACGGCGCCGGACCTGGTGACCTAACTGCCTGCTCGGCTGTCGACACTGTTGGTGCTTTAGGCTGTCAGCGGGGGCGCAGCGCTGCAGCCGGCCGACACAGCTATCAGGAACCGCATCCGACGCGCCCCCTCGACCCCAGGGCTCGACCCTCCTACACCCCAGAGCCCGACACCCCCCGAGCCGGCCCCGTGCCTTGCGCAACTGAGATTTATCGTTTCTGCAGTGTCGGGCCGACGGGGTGACGGCGGCGTCCCCCACCGCTCGGTTTTTGTTAGGGTGGGGTGCTGAGGGGCGTGGGCTGGCGCTCAGAGCTAGGGACGCCGCTTGGTCGGGTGTGGGTTCGACGGACTGATTCGCTGTTACTGATGGTATTTTTATGCGCCTATGCTCAGTGAACCCGAACAATCACGGCCAGCGATTGTTGAAAATTGCTGTCACCGACCTCGGTCTGTGTCCCGAGTCTCAGTATGAATATTTGGCCAACGAACCCGTGCATGCCGCTGGCGTGCCACCGAGCGCCGTTTGCGGTCTCCACCGCGGCGACTCAGCGATATCCGGCTCACGACGCGAACGTGTGCCATGGTGTGCTGAAGGTGTGCTGCCGGGGCGGTTACCGGGAGTTTGTGCGACGTAGCGGGTGGGACTGTGCCGGGTGTTAGCCCGGGGTGACGTGGTTTGTCGGTATTGTATGGCTGGGTTATGTGAGCGATAGAGTAAACCGGTCTGGGGTATATGAAAGGAGGTCTCGCTGCGGGCATGTGTGGAACTCGGAGCGAGCTCATCTGCTGCACATGTATGATGAGACCCAGCCAGCAGCAGCAGGGGTTCGGTTACCGAAGGCCATGATAACACGGCGGCGGCGACAGTTTACCGTGACTCAGCCTCCAAGGCCGCGCCCCGGCGATGACTGACCAAACCCGCCCGGCCCGCCGCTGCCGGACCGTGTTTGAGGTGTTCACTGTTCGTCGTCTCCGTCAACGTTGCGTGTTTGTAGAGTGGCCGGCGCCGGCGCCACTGGAGGGTGAAAGAGAGACTCCTTTTTACCGAGAACAGGGTGACGAGGCGGAATGGTGGCCGGACTGTGCGGGCTTCTCAGTACTCACCACTAGTCCCACGCCGTTGGCAGTGGACGAGGCTTACGGGAAAACTGTCTGGTGCTAGTGCCGAGGTATGTCTGATATGAGTTAGTCCCGGTGTGGATGAGCACCTGCAGACGGTCATGGGAACTAATATCGCGTGGGCGGCGAGTTACGGCTCGTTTAGAGCCCGTTTGCCTCATTAACGCCGCCACGCCGCGCCGGTGGAACCGTGGTAACGGAGCTGCCCCACTCTGCACTTCCCACCGCCCACCAACGTCCTCCACCCACCGCCCACCGTCCACCACCCTCTGCCCATTGTCCACTGTGCACATTCCACTGCCCAGTGTCCACTGTCCAATGCCTGCCGTCCACTGCCCAGTGTCCACCGGCCACCGTTAGTAGCCGTCTGTGCGCCAGCTTTGATCGGCTTATGTTGTGGTGATGATAGCGTTGATGGCGGCGATGACGCCGATGGCGTACTGATGCGCCGGATGGCGTGCGCCGGCGGACAGGCGGCATCCTCAGTCGGGCACGGAGTAACGCGCCGCCGAGCAGCGTCCCACCGGCGCCGGCTTGGTCCCCCGAAACGGTACGGCGCGGCGCGGCCCGGTTAGACCGTGTAACGGACCGGCCCGGACCGGCGCCGGGGCCTCACGGGAACGGACGGATGGAGAGTCTCTCACGGCATACAGAATCGGCCGTGAACTCACCACCGTGACCGGCAGCTAGCTGCTGACGTATTGGATCCGCAGGGAACACTAAAATCGAACCGTGCAGGAATGCGCGAACCCAGAGGCACGCGATTAAATCACAAATAAACCAATCAAGCGTGGAAGTAGGTCAGTTAGAGATCGGCAGATATTTCTGTCGAACGCTGCGGCTGTGAGATGGCATCCAGGAATAATAAGATAAATTCGTAACAAATGTCTTCCTTCCTGCGAAGTATGACGTTTGGCGTAGATTTATGCCCTGCTGAAGCCGTCACTGGCCTTCGGTCTGAACTCGACAAAAACTCTGCTGATGACTGTGTGGGTCGAAGGTGGCGGGTCGGGCCGCGTTCGGCTGACACAGGGTGGTCGTGTATACCGTGTCCTGTTTGCCGTTCTCTTCTGGCTAGAAGCGGCTGGTCTCTATTTGCTCGCGGTGTTTCGCCGGCTGCATGATAATCACACGGAGACTCACATGGACTAAAGCTGGACGAAGCGCCGCTTAGGTGGTGTTCACGCGAGGTGGCGTGGTCCAGGCGATACCCTGTGTGACTGTCCGGTTGAGGGAGGGAAGGGGAGGATTAGTGTTAAATCAATGGGCGCTTGAACCTGGTCTGGTGTGGAAAGAGGTCACATGAATTGATTAGTTTGAGTAGTTATGTAAAAGCAATGAAGCCTACGGGTCGTGCAAACAATAGGCGTGCTTCAGTATCTGTGTCATAACCCTATTTCCTTAAATAGATTGATGACCTTTTTTCTTGTTTGCATTATTTGTCGTGTCCTGTATGTGCATTGTGCAAAGAGCTAAAATCTGTTTCGTTTGTGCGTACAAACACCTGACCTGTCTCATGTTTGTGAAAATCTCTGCTAATCTCCGAATATATATATTTATTATGCATTATGCAAGTGACATGACCTCCCTATGTGACCCCAACTGACCTGTCTCCCTGTCTGCACAGGTGACCGGGCAGTCCCCGCGAGCGGCCGGCCCGACCAGCGGCGACCAGACACAGTCACAGAAAAGGATGAGCGGCGCGGCGACGAGCCGCTCGACGGCGCCGACGTCGGCTCCACCAACAGGTCAGTGGCCCTGTTGACCTTCCCCTCCTGGGTGACCTTCTTCCCCTCAGCAGCGTCCTTCTCAGTCCACAGCTTCGGCTCGACTTCATTTTCTACAGACGGCCGGTGGGAGTTAATGAATATTGCATCTCGGGACTTCTAGAAATTCAACCATCATTATCACCCTCAGACGACTGGAGCTTTGGCGTCGTCACTGTATACAATGTAGCAGCAGTGGCAGCAGCAGGAGCGGCGGTGATGACTGTCGTCTGTCGTCACCGTCACTGTCGGGGTCGCCGCCGACACATCCACTGCCATCTGACACCCAGACTAGACAATATCGACGTGACATCGGCGCCGGGAGATCGATGGTGCATCTCTGAACGATCGGCAGCTGGGGGCTGGGTCGGGCCGTGACGGGCTGACCCACGCGGGCTCGGCCTCCTGAATAGGCTCATGGGTGGTGGTAGGGTTGGCACTTGGCTCCAACGGTCGGCTCTCCTGGAAGGGTGGAGGGCCCTCCAGACGATGTGAAGAGGACCGGTTCATGTGCACATCGACTGGGTGCTCCGCCCGCCGCCGCGGGTGCCGGGCGCGCCGTGGGGTGCACCTTTCGTGTGATATACGGGTCTGACTGGCGGCACCCGCTAACGCCATGTTGCTAGGCAGTGGGGTCGATGAATTTCGGACGGGGCTTGCATTAAACTTGCATTCCTGACGGACGGTTACCGACCACTCCTGTCGGTGCTATGCCGGGCTCAGAACGCTGGTGCGAGGCGATTTTCCCAGAAAATGTGATCAGGAATGCCGGGCCCATTAATCTCACCTGCCTGTCTCATTGTAGTCGTATCTAGGAATCGGACAGGCGTCGTTCTGGTAACTTTTGACATCGGGCTCCTGGCTGAGCGGCTCTTCCTATACCATAGATCCTGTTCTGTGCCGGGTAGCACGTCGCTCGACACCTTGGAGAACTGGTTATGTTTGTCTGATGAAACACTTCTGACGAAATGTCACTGGTTGATCGTCAATGACAGCCTGTTGATGACAGCACCGAATGGTGTGGGACGACAGGGATAGATTAGCGGGAAGTGTATAAGACGACTCATGGCTAAACCTCTGCCGCACCCAAGCCTTCAGTAAAGGGCGTCGGACCCGCTCTCTCGGCAGGTCTGACCAGCTGGTCTTCCATCCGATATGGTGTGTTCGGGGCCGACAGAGGCGGCCCATACTTCTCTCATCCACCTTAGCCGGGTGTGTCTCAAATCCTGGACTCGGGAGAAGGCTGGAGAAAGGTGGTCCATGATTCACAGAGCTGTGACGTCGACCGGAGGAGCGGTGGACGTTGCTGACCAGCCGTCAGCGTCACGATCTATCACTGGCGGTGACCATTTCACTCTGGCGTGGGTGTCACTGCACAGTGGCGCAACACCCAGCGACCAGCTCCAGTGCGGGGCTGCTGCGCTGGACGCTGCGGCCCGGCTCGGCCCAGCAGTCCACTTGGTAAAACAGGCTGTGTTTGTGCTAGCCGAGATGACGTCAGTCCACAGACGAGTGACCGTCGGACCCTGGGCGGGCGGCGCTGGAGGTCTGGCGACTTGGCGAAGGACAGAGGAATAGGCAGACGGAGAGACGGTGGTGCTCAGATGAGAGTGCGAATGTTGGCGAATATGTGGGATGTGTTGAATATGCGGATGCTAGTATCAATGATAGACCGCCTTTGCCCCTGTCCCTCGACTGCTATGATGGGTACTGGCCGCACGCAGCAGCTGTTCTACGGACTAAGCCTTTATGCCTCATTGAGTTTGCTCGCTCACTGCGCGGCTCCGGGCCGTCTGTCCGGGCCTCAATGTCACCGGACTGGCGACTATGACAGCTGGCTGTCCGGGTTGGGGCTCCCGGCCGCGCCTGCAGCGGCTGTGACGCCGATGGCCCCACAGGCCCACACGGTAGCCGCGCCGCACAGCCGGCCGGCCGGCCGGCCTTGGCTGCCGGAGCGGCCACTGGCAGCCGCCGCGCCTGCCATCTATCGGCGCGTTTGTGAACTGCGCGGCGGGTGGCGCCGCTGCGCCGGCGGAGCGCTGCCGGCGCGACCGTGTTCAATGGGCCTGCTGGGAATATTGCTGCTGTCCGCCTCCGAGAATTTGCTCAGCGTATTCCTGTTTCTGTTGTTGCGCATGTTAGTAGCGAGGGTGGCCAATTTGTCCTGTTTTGCAATTGCAAATGTTCTTTCATCACAGTTGCTCGCTGTGGGATGTAAATTTGCCGGATTTATGTAAACCTCTTGTAGCATTGCGTCTGGTTTCGTGACGTGCACGGGGGTAAGACGTAGCGCGCGACCTTGCCGTAATCTTGTAGTCTATCTCCGGCCGACTCGACCCATCCATCGCGTCAGGTGGCCGGTCGCCTAGGACAACAGCTAAATCCAGCGGCGGGGGACATTGGCGGCCCGCTTATGTGGGCTATTTAGCGGCGCCCATTGGCCGTGTGCAGCCTTGATGTGCGCTTTGGCAGATCGGCCCGGGCGGCCGGCTCTCTCCCGAAATAGTCTCTCCGCTCGGGCTGGGCGGCTGGCTGCCGGGGACGGGACGGGACGAGCGGCGCGCCGGTGCCAGCCATGCGCCGCTGCCGCCGGCCAGCTGACATGTGGGCCACCAGTCAGCGGCTGTCGACGGCGTCAATAGCCCGCGCCGGGCCGACGCCGTGGGGAGGGGTCATAGGGCAGGAGGGTGCCAGGGGGTGGTGTTGTGATGTTTAGCGGTTGTGTGGAGAGATGTGGTGTAGTGTTGGCAGAAACTACACCGCATCGACAGCTCGTCTGTTTTTCCACCCCTCTGATGAACAGTGTGTTCACCCTGTTACAGTCTAGCGCACATATGAAGCTCGCCAGAGCCTCCCCAGCCTCTCCGATCATCGACGCGCCGGCCGTCGAGCTCGGGTCGGCGCGCGGTGCGGCCGCTGGCGCCGGGCCCAGGCGCAGTCGGTCGGCGCCGCTCGACGGCAGCCCGGTCCGCCGGCAGCCAGTAGGCCGACGGCTGTCTGTGAGCTGCCCCCGTGCCACCCTCTGTGCACCCCCTGTGCTCCGGCGGCCCGTGCTCCGGTGGCCTTTGCTCCGTGTGCTCTGTAGGCGTCAAACGGAGGAGCCCGTGAACCTGTGCAGAGGCGGGGAGAGGTGGGCTGGTTGGAGATCAGCGCCGCCGTTAGGGTGATGCTGAATGGCGCTACGGAGTTTTGTGAAACTTGATTTCCATGTTGAAAGAACTAGAGAATAGTGGCTTTGGTGGTTTGTCTCCGACTAGTTTCTCGTGGTTTGACATACGAGTCGATAGTTTTTCAAGATTGTTTTGCCCTCTAGTGTCTATGGCTTCCTCTCAATCACCATGCTTTACCGTGCAGCATGCACATTGCACGTCATTTCCTTTCACCACCTTGTGACATCACCCAGCGCATCCCTCCGACCGATCAGTGCACCCGGCGTCCCCCGATCGCAGCGTGGCGTCATACCGGAGTGGACAGTCGGGTGACGTGGGCGCACCTCCGCTCAGCGGGCGGGGTTATCCATCATCATCACTGGGAGCGGTGACGGCACAGCACTCCCCAGCGGCCCCGCGGTCACGACAGCGGGTCGGTCGGTCGGTCGGCTGAGGCTGGCCTGCTCGGTGACATTAGGTGGTTTTGGACAGAGGTGACAGGCTGGCTTGTGATGAGTGGGTCCGTAGCCTTGAGGTTGTGGATTCTCCGTGCCAAATAGCTGCGCCGTTATATTTTTGTCAGCTTTGTTATGGCCAACTTCCGAAGCTCGTAAATCTGGCAGATGTGTTCCATTAATATCCCAGGTGAAATGATTTTTCATCATCTGGTAGCGACTTGTGGCGATTTGCGTCACTGTTTTCGGCGCCGCTGGCTGTGGTCGGTCGGTCGGCCGGCGGGGCCCTGCCAGGGCTGCTGTCGACTCTGAGACCGGCCCAGAACACGGCCCGAGCGGCGGCTGCCAGCGGTGCACGTGTCGTTGCCAATAGCGATAAACGTCGGCCCGACCAGCCGCGCCGCCTGTCGGTATCGACTCGCCCCTGTCGGCCGGTCAGCGATCTCCGATGGGTACACTGGACATGGACAAACCATTGGCCGTCCCTGATCGCCAGCTGGATTGGATTCAAAGGCTGCACGACGACGCACAGTGTGAGTCAGCCGCGCCAGTAGCAGTCCCAGTTGAACGTTTATGGCGCATATGTCATCGTTTTGCTTTTCAGAGGCATTTGATGGTGAGCGCCCCTCGCAAAATACGCTATCTTTGCCATCGGCGGAGTGCGCGGCGCGGGCGTGGGCGGTATGTTTGCGCCGCTGTCAGTCAGGGAGGCCCGGCCGGCGGCAGAGCAGGATATGCGCCGCTCCCTCCCCCTCTCTCCCTCGGTGCAGTGTGTGCCGACTCGGGACGGCGGCACTCGTGGCCCACTCCAGCCTTTGTGTGCCATCCTGCGCCGACTGTGGAAGCTGATAGGGCGGTGGCCCTCCGATGGCAGCGAACGGACGGACCTCGAGGGCTGAGCTCGGCGACTGGACGGGCGCGCTACTGCGACCGTCGCCGGAGCCTGCTGCTCCGCTGGAGTGCTGTATGAGATCCAGTCAGGTCGGAGAGATGGTGATAAGGCAATAGGGCGTCCGATTCCGTCCAGAATGATGTGATGTGCATTGTGCATATTGCACAGGTGGTAACGCGCAACGAGAAATGCATAAAAGAGAAAAGATGTTGCCCGATATGCTGAATGATGATCCTTTCAACCAAGGCTGATGCTCTACTTTGTGTTAACATTTTGCACTGACCTCTCCTTCTCGATTGGTTGGCTGTTGACATTTTCAAATGATTGTCCGTCAGCCCTTACCGTCAATAATCCATTCGCTTTCGTCGTCGATGTCATTGGTGCGGGGTCATAGGAACCTCCCTGAGGCCAATCCCATGACGGATGCCGCATTGTGTATGTGTCCGGCCATCAAACTTGGCGAAACGACTGGCCCCTGTCACGACGACAGAGAAAGTTGAGCGGTTGCGCAGAGAGCGCCTGGCTAGGCATCCGGCCCGGTGTTGGGGCCTTTCCAGCACTGCATGGGTCCACCGGATCGGGATGGAGCCGGCTTGGCTGGTATGACTGGTTAGTGGTTAGGTAACAGGCGCAATCGCGGATCGCAATCACCTGTCGGCTTGACGGTATGTAAGGTGTTTTAAGAAAAACATGCGGGCGCGTGTGAGACTCGTAAGAGCAGGGCTTTTAACTTGTTTCAGAGTTGTTTCCCGGTTGATGTCAACATGTTGGAGTTCTACATGAAGCCAGTTACACTGTTTTATCTGGTTTAGTCCCTGAACTCTCCATGACCCTTGGACGGCTTTCAGACATGTGCAAGACGCCTGTGCCAGAGCTGTCGGAGCGGCGGTGGCCTCGCCAGAGCCGCCGGACGCTCGATCGGCCGATTGGTCTGGTGCACGCTGTTCGATGCTAACGACTGACCTTTACTGGACAGGTCACCGGGCGCACATTGCAGACCTGCACCCGGCAAGGACCGGGGCGGAGCGGACAGGGGCGGCCGGGCACCGCTGGACGGACGGCTCGCCGTCCCCTGGCGTCCGAGCGGCGCCGGCCGCGCCCGATCCATCGCTCCGGCGGCGCCGGTGATAGATGGGCGCGCCGGCCGGAGCTGTTGTGTGGCCGCCGCCGCCCGGCCGTACGGCCAGTAATTGATGTCGTGTCGGCGGCCGGCGGCTGGCCAACTCCGCTGAGGACGGCGACCCGCCTTCCGCGTGCGTGCGCGGCGGCCGCGGCGGGCGCCGGTCGCCTGACGCGGTGCCGGTCCCGCCGGGGCGCCGGCCGTGTACCGTGCCGGAACCGGACCTCGGCCGAGACAAGGCCATTACGCTAATCGACGCGTCGGCGGCGACGGCGGCTTGACCCCGTCGACAGGCCTGCTGCGACGGTCGAGCCTCGAGTGGGCGGCCCTGTCTGGGTCGGGACCGGTGTCGCTCCACTGGCAGCGACGACGGCGACGTCCCGTGGTGTTCCCACTACCGCAGTGGGTGACGCGGTCGCTGGCTCGGCAGCCGCCGCGGCCGCCGCCGCTGACGGGTGTTGGTTTTAACTTTTAGGTGACGCCGGGTCGGTTTGTTTTGGTAGGGGTCGGAGGGGGCGCCGGCGGCAGAGGTGCGCCGCCGGCGTGGAGCCGCGCATTGATTGGCCGCCGGTCGACGGACGATCAATGGCGGGCGCGCCCCGGGCCTGGGCGGGGCGCGAGCGTGCCCATCTCCGCGGACTTACCGCCCGCCCGGCCACTTGTAGAGCACCGGATCAACGGGATCAGGCCGCCGCGCCGGCATGGATTGCCGAGAGACCGCGGAATCGGGCTCGGCGGCCGAAGCTTCTGATTGAAACGGACTGATGGGGACAGACGGGTCATCCAACCCTCCCCCACCTCTGCACAGGTTAGGAGCACGCATCTACTCGGAGAGTGTCATTCCCCTCGCTGGGAGCGTCCGGCCAAATCACCGAGCGTTAGTGGCGTCCGAGCGCAGTCGACGGAAGTAGCACAGCTCCGTCGGAAGGAAACGTGGGAGTGACGTCGGCGGGCTCTATCGTGGCGAGCTGCGCGCCGACCAGAGACCTTCCGGCGCGCTGAGTGGGACGCCAAACAGTCAGAGCCGCGGCGGCAGTGGCGGCAGCGTGTCAGTGACAACACGGAGCGAGAGAGTGCGAACCGCGGCGCGGCGGGGGCCCGAACGCGCCGCCGAGGGCACAGCGCCGCCGCCGGTGTGACGCCGCGTGACGGTGTGACGGGTGACGGCCGTGACGGCGCCGCCGCCAGTCGCGCCATGCCGCGGCTGCACAACGGTCTGAAGCCGGAGGAGGTGGCCCAGCGGCGCCGGCTGCCGGTGCCGCCCCAGAACTCGCCCGATAGGTCGCCGGTTCGGTGGGTACCGGCGGATGGGGGAGGGGTCATGGGACTGATTGGGGATGGTTTAGGGCGGCAGTGGGGTATCGTGTGGGACTGAAGCGTGGTTGTGTTTGTTGATATTGTTTGTTGATATTGTTTGTTGTTTGTTGTTACCGGATGTTCGCTGCCCTCGACCAGCGCACTGAGGCGTCGTGGCGCAATGGATGTTCGCGCGTTTTTTTTTTCCTCTATGGTTCAACGGTGTTCACCGATCTTTGCATTTCTTTCGTGAACTTGCCATACCTTCCCTGAACTCAGTTGTTGCATAAATCGACGTGCGTTATTTACAAGAATGAATGGAGTCTTGCAATACACAATTCAAACCCGCGCTAGCTTGGCATTGTTGATTCATGGCACAGCTCCACAGCTCCTGGTGCTCTGTTGTCTCCACTTCATAGCTGACCGTGTCCTTGCTGTCTGTTCCAGCGGTCCGCCGCAGATCGGGAAGAAGCCGGCGTCGACGGCCATCACCCGGTCCGAGAGCTACCGGGACCACCGCAACAGTCGGGTGAGTGAGGCCGCTAGTGTGTGGGGGAGCAGTGGGGTATCGCTTACTGGGGAGTGGCAAAATGGGCTGATGTGTCCCCGACTGGGAGTGGTGGGTGGCATAAAATCGTTAATTCCTGTGAGGTACGAACTAATGATGTTGCGATATATAAATAGGCTTTGTGAAGTTAATCCGGATAGGATGGTTGGTCATTATTTATGGAAATCGTTCCACTTCTAGTGCTCTTCTTTTTTAGTGACCCTCTTGTTCGTGAATGGTCAGCTTATTTATGTTCATTTCAAAAACTGTAGCTCTAGGCCATCCCGAATGAATCGCTGTGTCATCTTGGGAAATTGGATAGTCAGAGGGACGAGTTTTTGCCGGCGGCCAGGCTTTCCGGTCGTCTTATTGTGTGTAATGGACTGGCTGAATCGTCCGTGTTTGTCCGGTTTTTGAGTGGGCGGGCCGCTGCCGGACGCTTTGTCCGGGCGCGGCCGCTCCTACTAAAGGAGGCGAGTGACTCGTCCGGTGACGGTCTAAAAGTGTCGCCGCTGCCGGGTGAGGTCGTGTGACCCGTCGTCTCACACCTGGATCCGTCCCGGTGTGACTGGCTCTGACTCAGAGCCCCGTGGTGTCGCCGCCGCGTGTGGCCCGCCCCCGCTGATGAGCGGGCCCGTGTCGCCGGCGCGTAGGCCATCCATCAGGCCCTGTCAGCGCCGGCCGGCCGGCCCCGCGCCGTGGCCGTAGCCGGCGGCACTGTAATGGCCCGACGCCGCCCCGTCGCTGACGGAGGTGTCACTGCCGTCACTGGCCGGTCGGGATTGGAGAGACTGTCACCTTTATAAGCTCGTGCAACACGGAGTTTTCAGGGCCCTGTTGTGGAGAGCTCAGAAACGTGCGGTTTTCCGTGGATGGCCCCGGCGCCACACGGTACGGGTTATCCGTCAGTTTCCAGGGTCTCTGACCTGTTACTCCATGGGAAGTAAGGAGCAGTGACGCTACTTTATCGCCATTTAAGCTGCCTAGCTTCTCTGATCATTGGGTTTTAATTGTCCTGGTTGGCTTTGGCGGTGACCTACCGGTGCCGGTTGTATTCTCCGCCTGGTTAGCAGGGTTCGCCTGCCACACTCTGTGTCCGCCAGTGCTGCGGACGGGTTATGTCTGTGGCGGGGTCTGACAGCCGGCCTGAGCTGCCGACAGCTCGTCCCGTGGCAAAAACTGAACTGGTGAGACGCCCGTCCGGCCAAACTGCCCGAGGCGGCTGATTGGTGTTTCTTGATTAGTGGCTCGATTGGTTGGGGAGTGAGGAGCAGGGGGACGGTCTCTCACGACCCATGCAACACAGAGGCAGGGCTCTTGGAAGAATCCTAGCATGCCGGGCTGTACCTCTTCAGGCAATTTTGGAATAAAAGTCAATTGGACTTACTTATGAGACAGGTTCCTGGGCAGCAGCCAGCGATGGGGTTTAAACTGCCTTCGAACAGCTGTATTTCTGTTCTCCCACTTCAGGAAGCTTTCAACAGTCTGTTTTTATAAATTAGCGGATGTTTGTGTGGGCCGTGGCGAATCCTCAACTCAATCTTGGCTTGTGCAGGAAATTCAGGACTTGTAGAAACTAGCGCGCCTCCACCTGATCTACGGGACCATCGGTACGGTCTTTGACCTTGCCACAGCTCCAGGCTGTACCAAATTGGCGTCACCCCGCTCCTCAGGTCGAGCCTGATTGACGGTCCCGCCGCCCGCCCCGCACCGATGATAAATTGACGTCGCCAGCGGCGCTCTGTGCCGCCACGTGGGGTGCCGAGTGACGGTCGTCGGCTAGGGACAGATTGGGGTGGTGGGGTGCCGAGATGGAGACCCTAGCGGTGGATGGGAAAGTTATAGTTTGATCGAAGATGGATAGGTGGCGCTGTGGTGTTTGTCTCGCGGCTGGCTGCATGTGTTGATTGTGATGTGTGGGCTAGCTTCTGACGATTTGTCACCTGTTGCAGAGACACACACGAGAGAAGAGGAAACACAGCGACCCGAACATCCCCAGCTCCAAAGTCAGGTGAGTTCGGTGAGAGTGGTGCAATGGTGCGGGTGCACATCAGCCAGCCTGATCGAGGCACATCTGGGCGGTCCTCTCACTAAGTTCGTCCGACAAACGCTAGATGGCAGTGCTTGATGCCGGCTGTCTGACTGCGGTACTGCGGCAGGCAGATGTGGTAAGATTCCATCAGCACTTCGCACGCCAGATGTGAACTCCACTGATGACTATTGCATCGCTGCAACCGTGTCGAGAACGATGCTCTCACACAGTCGCTTATCCCGGAAATGGAGCTCAGTTCGAGTCCGTTGGAAATTGGCCGTCGTATTTTTCTAAGATAATGGTCTCGGCTCCTCAATGGCCTCACTAAGTCGCTGCATTGTCTGTGGAGCGGCTGGACGTTTCGAGTCGGGTTCGACCTGCGTTGCCTGTGGCAGCCGGGGTGAAGGGCCGCTCGGTCCGGCCCAAAATCGATGACCTGTGGGCGGTGCAGCCTGCCCGACGAGCGCTCTACGCCATCGCTGCAGAATGGTTCCTTTGAGCTGAGAGTCACTTCGCTTCCAAAGCACCTCCAGGCCAAACATTTTAACTCACAGCGTTCGTTCTGCGTGGATGTCTATGACAAGCCTGAGTGTAGGTCTGCGGCCGAGGCTCGGTCAAGGACCTCACCCCGATCGGTGTGTGATGTATGCTCATGGAGCGCCTCTAACGATCTCATTAAGACAGCGGCCGCTGCCAGCTGATGAATGGAGGTCCGGTGGGCGCGGAGCCGGACCCCGCCGCGTCACCGGGCAGTCGCAGGAATAGAGCGCCGGTGACGGCGCAGGCAGGATGGCGACTGTCGGAACGATGGAGATTATGACGAGTCGCATCTCAGTCGGCTGTGGCCCTCTTGAGACCGCAACGGACGCCGATAAACACAAGGGCTGATTGTTGTATGCTCACTGCACGAGTGCTGGATTGGGTTATTATTTACCCACTTACGAAAGGATCACTCAAAGGGTTGTTTGCACGGATAAATGCAAAAGGCCGCGCTGTCGTCTGGCGTTTTTCCTGCCGTGCCGTGAGGCCGCTCGGCTGTTACGGGAAGTCACTCCACACCTCTTGTCACTGCTCTGACTGGTGAACCCGAGTAGGAGTCGGTGCGGCCGACAGCCGGGCCGCCGCCGGTCCCCGCCGGGCTCTCCGACTGCCAGTTGGCCGCCGGCCCGCTCTCGGGCCCGCGCCGGAGCCGTGACACGACCGAGCCGCGAGTCACCGGCCGGTCCTCGGCCCGAGCGCGCCGGCTCGCTGCAGAGTGCTGGATAAATAGCCGCGTATCGGCCAGTCAATATTTTTGCTATCGCGGACGGCCGGCTGCTGTCGGCGGCGGCGCGCGCGCGGCTCCCCACCGGCGCGGCGTCGATAGTGTTTGCATGGTGCGTTAGCCGCCGCCAATCTGACTAACGATCGTCGACGGCGCCACGAGACGAGACGCCGCCGCCGCGTCGACGCCGACGCCTTTGTCAGCGGCGAGTCGACTTTGGACGCGCCGGCGACGGCACCTGCGCTGCAGAGCGGCCCCAGCGGCGCCAGGTGACGGCGGCGGCTCGACGCGCCGGGACGCGCCGGCTGGCCGGGCAGTGCTGCAGTGTGGAGCGGTGAAACAGCCGGTGTGGCGGTCAGTGGTGGCCATATGTGTGAGGTTTGAGCGTGTGAGACGCTCCGGGCGTGGGTAATGTGACGAGTTCGAGTAGTTTGTGTGGGTTGAAGTGATTAGTTTTGGAGCGCCGCCGCCGGGTGGACAGCAGTGCTGCGAGGCGATTCTGGACGGGGGGTAGCATCTTCAGCCTCCTCCGACGCTCTGACGTCACTGGGTGTCACCTGGCGTTAGTGACGTCAGTGAGCGAGAGCGTTTTGAGTGATTTACTCGGCCGGACTCGGCGCATTCCTCAGTGACGCGCAGCGGCGCCATATCACGCGTCAGTGGCCCGTCGAAGACCGGTGCCGTCCTGCGCCGGCTGTGAAGCCGAGCGTCCTCCGTGACGTGACGACCCGGTGACGTCTGTGACGTCTGCAAGCCGCCGTCGTGACGCGCCGCTCGGCAGGCTCGGCGTCGGCCATGCGGCCGGCGGAGCGACATGCGTCGTTCAGCACCAGCAAGAGGCGAGCGGCCACGCTGCCCGCCTCGCTGGCAGAGTCTCGGAGGGTCTTCTCGGAGAGGGCCGTCCTCTCACAGAGGTATGTACTATGTATGTCTGGCTGACTAGCTGGAGCTCTTGGACCAGCTGAGGCGTGTCATGTCATCAGATTTTCCAGGAGGCGACGACCAAACCGTTCTAGCAGACACCAATTCCTTTCAGATAATAATCCCTTATCCATGCATTGCCCTAGATTTGATGCCGAAATCAAGTTTTTGGGACTTAATCTCGTGTCTCTTCTTCCTCGATTCGGTGGAGAAAGTAGTATATTTGTCAGTTTGAGAGGCGCTTGACTCATGGCTGTTGGTTTAGTGTTCTCAGAAACGTTTCATCTTGTGTGCGTCTTTTGGAGATTCTTCGCTGATGACTCATGTTTGTTGGAAAACACCGCACATGAGTAGCATGTAAGCCATGGGCGATGTCAGTTCCATGACCCGCGCTGTGTCTGTGACGGACGTTTAGGTAGGAGTTCCGTCCATGCGTGGCGATGAGTCGGGAGCGCGTGGCGAGGGAGCTGCACATCTCACGGTGACGCGTCCAACAGCTGGTAGCTGGCCCTGTTGCGGGCCGCGTCGGCATTGGCATTCTTGGCACGTAGCGGCGGCCGATTTTGCCGAAGGCCGCGGGCGGGGGCGGCGGCGGTGCGTGCGGCGGGGACGGCGGCGGCTCGCACACGGCCTGTTTGCGCCCGAGGTGTAAATCGTGAGCCACACGCGTCCGGACGGAGTACGGGGGGATCAGCTCACTGGGCGGTGAGCTCGACGGCGGCGGTGACGGTGACGCTGGCTCTAGGCATGAGGCTACAACTCAAACCGAAGTCAGACAGACCACTTCATTTCGGGACGAGCTCATGTCTGAACGTACTCAGCTAACGAGGATTGGTGTATGGTGCGTTACTGGACCTTACGCCCTACGGCCTAAACTAAGCTACCCGGAGAAAAGTGAGATCCGGTTGCCTCCTGAGTGATGTGGGGCCCGTTCTGGGCCGTCTGTGGCTGGCAGCCGGCGTGGGTGAGCGCCTCATGGGTTTTGGAAAAGCACGCGTGTTTATTTATGCTCGCGCTGGAGCCGTGTCGGAAGACGCTCGTCCGGTGGTGTTTTGGGACTTTGGGGCAGCAGGGCAGGGCGAGAGGGGGCAGAAATGTGCTGGCACTGTGCCAGCGACCAACGCGAGCCGGAAATGGACGGACGCGCGCGCGGGATCGCTGCCATAAGTTTGTCAGTGGCTAATTATGGCGTCATTTGGTCAGTGTTTGGCGCATTCTCTGGCGCGCGGACGGGGTTGTCGCGCCTCCGGGCGCTGTCAATGGGCGGCGCGTGACGCGCTCCTGCCACTATAGCGTCTGCTGAGCGTCAGAGTGGCCGTGACGGGATGCGTCACGGACGCCATCGGTCATCGTCGGCGTCACTATTCTGGGCAGGGGTGGGGAAAAACGGCGCCCATTTACACCGGCGTCATGACATACTCGAATAACGCACACAGGTGTGCAGTTACGAGGCCTAGAAAAATGGGCTTATCATCTCGTGTGTGTAGGCGCTAATTAAATTATTTTTAGATACGCAATATGAAACATAATATTTTGGGATTCATGGCATAACAAACACAATTTCGCTCGTCGTCGACTACCGCCTGCCGTCCACCTGTTCTCGGCGGCCCAGTGCGTGTGTTCTCCGGCGCCGCGGTGCGGTCGGCCGGTCGGCTCGTCAGGCCGCTCCCCGCGGCGGTGGATCGAGCGACCTTCGTCCTATCGACTGGCCGTGTATCTCGAGTCAGGTGGGCGGACGGCCGCCGCCTCCGCCGCCTCGGGAGGCGCCCGTCTGCCCGGCGCGGCCGCGCGCGTCCCCCGTGAAACCGACCAGGGAGCGGCGGCTTTGTTTTAGTCATGAGCTGGCTGCCCTGTGAACTCGAGCCCGTATTCTCAGCGGACCCCGCCGCCGCCGCCGCCAGCGGAAAATATTCGGCCGACCAGCAAAAACGTGACCTGAAATAGCGCGAGCATGCGCCGGAAACGTCGCACGTCCAAGTCGGACGTCAGGGCGGAGGAAGGGGCCGGCTGGCTCTGAGAGGGGTACCCACTCGATCCGGGGCGGGGGCGGGGCGGGCGCCCGCGGGTGTTATCAGAAGTGGGCGGTAATCCGGCGGGATGATGTCGCCCGGTATCGCCTGATAGCGGGAGCCGGGAGGTGCCGCCGGCGTCCTCGGCCTCCCGGCAGACGTTCTCTGGCCGTGTCTCTGCCGACGGCATGCTCTCACTGCACCCGCAGCTGGAGAGGCGCACCGTGGGGCGGTCGCGCTCCCAGTTCTTCAGCAGGTGGGTGGGGCGCTGAGTCGGGTGCTCAGTGGGATGCTCAGTCGCTCGGGATTCTCCGATTACCTGGTAGTGGTGCTCGGTGCCATCCAGTGCACAGTGGGGATTTTTCCGATCTAGCACGTATTTATTCGTAGAGGGCAAACCATAGGTAGAATTGTAGCCAGATTGTGCACATATGTTGGCTGGTGTGTCCTGGTGAGAATTTTACCTGTAAATGTGCATAATCAACATAATATAGGGGGTTCAATTGGACCCCCCGCTCAGCCGTTTGACCCCTGATCAAGCTAGAGCTTCGCGGAAAAGTCAAGCGTGCTGCCTATGACGAAATGAGGCCGAATATATCCAATTTCAAAGTCCAAGGTCATAAGCTGACTTTCCAAGTCAGTTTAATGACCCAACTAAAGTTGGGAAATCGAGACCTCTTGAAACTTCGCAAAGTTAGGGTGTTACGGGGTATTTTGGGGTGCTGATCACGAATTTCATGTTAGTTTTGATCACAGACAATGTCTTTATGCATTTAGGCCAGGTC